TTACAGATGTGCTGCACTGCATCCCACAGGCACACTGCGGTTACAGATGTGCTACACTGCATCCCACAGGCACACTGCAGTTACAGATGTGCTGCACTGTGTCCCCCGTTCCATGGATTCTTCAAATCTAAGCTCTGGTCCTCACACTTAATGTGGTACATACTTTATCCACTGAGTCATCTTCCTAATCCTAAAGAACTGTTTTAACATTTAATTCTAGTTTATTACCAGGAAATGTTTGATCTGTATATCTATTCTATATCCCTATATTCCCAAGGTTTCAGAACAATTTTTTGGGCAAAAGGGTGTGGCCAATGAAAAAAGTTTAGGAACCCCTGCTTTATCTCACATTTTGGTTAGTATTGGAGACCAAAGGAGCTTAACTTAAGTACTATAGGCAGCATTTTCAGGGCTAGCCAGCAATTATTACTGTGTGATAAAGTACAAGTCAGTTATTCTACAATTGGTCAACTGGCCTGGGACAGTGACAACCATCACCAAGTGAGTAGTTGCATCACATTTACGGAGTACTTACTAAATGTCAGACATTTCTATGGGTGCTTTACCCACCAATCATAACCCTATGAGGTGGGTCCTTTAGTCATTACCATTTTACAGACGAGGTATAAGAAGGAAAACAGTTCAACAACTGTGCCATGGCTGGAGAAATGGCTCAGGGGAGAAGAGCATTGGCTGCCCTGTATGACAGTCCCTGGGGATCAGATGTCATCTTCTGTCATCCACAAGCACACAGGTGACACACAGACTCATACATGGGGAAAACACCATACACATAAAACACAAATAATTACAACATTTTTAAAAACACTATGAACTACTGAGCCAGCAGGCTACAGAATGAGAAACAAACCCAGCTGGGTGTGGTGGCACACATCTGTAATCCTTGCAGTTGGGAAGCTGTGGCAGAAATTTAAGGCTGTGCCGCCTAGTTTTATGTCACAACTGAGTAGTGAGGGATTTTTTTTAAATAATTTATTTTCATTTATGTACATTGGTGTTCTGCCTGCATGTATATCTGTATGAGGGTGTCAGATCTTAAGAGTTACAGACAGTTGTGAGCTGCCATGCAGGTGCTGGGACGGGAACCTGGGTCCTCTGAAAGAGCAGTTGGTGCTCTTAACCACTAAGCCATCTCTCTAGCCCCACCCCCTTTTGCTTTGTTTCTCCTTCATTGGCCTTAACCCCTACCTATTCAGGATTCCAGCATCTATTCAAGACCAGCTGAGACACCCCACCTCATTGACTAAGCAAGCAACTTTTGGATTCTTGGCCTTTCTATTCCAGGTAGCCATTGTTGGATTAGCTGAACCACATCCTGTAAATCATTCTAATAAATCACACACACACACACACACACACACACACACACGAGAGAGAGAGAGAGAGAAAGAGACAGAGAGAGGCAGAGAGAGAGAGAGAGAGAGAGAGAGAGAGAGAGAGAGAGAGAGAGAGGGAGGGAGGGAGGGAGGGAGGGAGGGAGAGAGAGATTCATTATAAAGCTATTACTCTAGAGAACCCTGACTAATAAATACCCTGACTTCCCTCAGAACTGTAAGCTGAAATAAACCCTTTCCTCCCCAGGTTGCTTTTTATCATGATGTTATGACAACAGTGGGAACCCTAAGAGAAAGGCCATCCTTAGGGGGGAGCGGCTAGGAGAATGGTCCTTGTGAGTATAACACTTGCTGTGCAACCACGAGGCCCTGAGTTTGGATTCCTAGAACCCATGTAAAAGGTGATATGATGTTGTATATATGTAACCCCGGTGCTGGGGAAGAGGGAGTTGGGGTAGAGACAGGTCCCTGGGCTCACTGGCCAAGCAGCCTAGACAAAAAGAGGAGTTCTAGATTCAGTGAGAGATCCTGTCTCAATAACAAGAAGGCTGGAGAATGACAGGGAAGATTCCTGAAGCCGGTCTCTGGCCTCATGGACATGCACATGGGGAGTTCACCAGTGCACACAAGATCATGTATATATGACAAACTGATCACCTTGGTTCCACAGTCAAATCATTTTTTTTTATTGTTGTTGGTTGTTGTTTTTTAATTTGTATTGCTTACTTACAGAGCCCTACAAATGCAGCTAGGCACTAGAGGCTTTTAGAAGTTTTTTTAAAGACTTTATTTATTTATTTATTTATTTATTTATTTATTTATTTATGATGAATATACTGTAGCTGTCTTCAGATCCACCAGAAGAGGGCATCAGATCCCATTACAGATGGTTGTGAGCCACCATGTGGTTGCTGGGAATTGAACTCAGGACCTCTGGAAGAGCAGTCAGTGCTCTCAACCACTGAACCAGCTCTCCAGTCCTTAAAGTTTTTTTTTTAGAAAAAACTTTTTAAAAAATCTTTGTGTGTGTGAATGTTTTACTTGCATGTATGTATGTGCACCACTTATATGCCTGGTACCCTCGGAGGCCAGAAGGGTATTGGATCCCCTGAAACTGAAGTTCAAATGGTTATAAGTGGAATAGAACCAAAGTCTTCTGGAAGAGCAGCTGGTGCTCTTAACCTCTGAGCCATCTCTCCAGTCTCTTAGTTTTGCATGTAGCCCAAGCTGGCCCAGGGCCAAGGTATTTCTGTTTCAGCCTCCTAATTTCTGGAATTACAGGCATAAGCCAAACTAGCCTGTAGTCAATGTTCCTAAAACTTTAGAC